AATAATAATAATAATAATATTATTATTTTAAATATAACATTTTGTTTTGTTATTTGTTATATTATATATATATATATATATATTATATATAGATAAAGCTTCATAAATAACAAGAAATCATCAGTCACTAATGTTTTTTTTTCTTTTTACATTTTAATATTTATAAATCCTTTTTTATTTTTATTTTAATTATAACATATAACGTATTTTAGATATAAAATATCAATGATAATAATATTAGTATAATATTAATAATTTAATAATAATATTAAATTATTTATAATATATTATTGTTATTAATAATACAAAATGTTATACATCATATTATTATTTACCATTTATATTTTAATATATTATATTTATAAAAAAAATTATAATAATAATAATACAATATTTATAATATTATTTATATTAATACAAATTATTTTACTACAGATATGTATTTAATGTTATTATTGCAAAATGTTATGAACATTGTAAACTATTATTAATATTATAAGTTTTATTATTATTTTTATTTTATATACTTTAAAAAATGTCATTATAGCCATCCATTATATTTGTCTGTCAAATGTTATAAATTATTAAATATTATTATTATTATTTATGATTTATATTTTTATATTGTATATTTATAATTTTGTATCATATTAATAATAATAATAATAATGCTAATAATTAAACAATAGTAATAACTACAATTATATACAGTGGGTACGGAAAGTATTCAGACCCCCTTAAATTTTTCACTCTTTGTTATATTGCAGCCATTTGCTAAAATCATTTAAGTTAATTTTTTTTCCTCGTACCCACTGTATGTATAACATATTGTATTATTATTAATATTTTTATTATTATCATAAATTAATAATACAGACATGTCATGTTTTTAATGTTATTAATGCAAAATGTTATGAGATTAAGCTGTATTATTAATATAATAAGTATTATATTGTAAGTATTATTATAATTAAAAAATCTGGCCGTCCATTATATTTGTCTTGTCTGTAATGTGTTGCATGCCTTTTGCTCAGTGCAGCAGGGATTCTTTCTGAGCGTTTGGATCTGATTGTGACTGCAGTGGGATCATTGGTTTTATCGGAAAGGCTGTGAGGTGTGAATTGATGGGAGAGTGAGGCCGTAAACATTTTTATAGACCGAGCAGTAAGTCAATACGACGCTCACCTGTGGAAACAGAGCTTAAAATAGACCGGTCGTGATGCAGGGACGCTCTGATTATTTGCCTTGTTAAATTTATATCTCGCTCTTGGCTAGAGTAACCTGTGAGCAAGGATTGTGGGTAATTTCACCCTCTCAATGCACTTTAGATGCATTGATGATTTGCTGATTTATGAGGTGTGGTGTTGGCTCTTAAAAACAGTGATGTTTCAGGAAGAATACTAGTCTTGATAGCTCATCCAATCAGATTTTAGTTCCATATCCATTTTATAAATCATTTTTGTGAACAATTGTTTACAAGAATTTTTAACTGATTGTTAGGTGTTTTAAAAGCTGTTTTATTTATGAAGCTTTATTTTATATATAAAATATGAATTATAATGCTAATAAATAATAATATAATAGTAATGTTTGTTTTACGTTTATAATATTTTCTAATATTATTATTATTATTAATAATATGTTATATATATAATTAAAATGAGAAAACTATGAAGAATATACTACTACTAATAATAGTAGCATTAATAATAACAATAATAAAAATACTAATAACAGTGTTATTTAAATGATTGTTTTTTATTGTTGTTGACTTGTTATAGTCAGGGTTCGTACGGTCATGAAAAACCTGGAAAAGTCATGGAATTTTAAAACACCAATTTCCAGGCCTGGAAAAGTTTTGGAAAAATAAATAAACCCAGAAAGTTTTGGAAAAGTCATTGAAGTCTATTTCACAAAACTCTGTATAATAGAATAGTGTTTAATCGGGTCCTGAATTTCGGTGCGGGATTGCGCATAGGCTATATCGAATAGTTTTACTCATTCCCGCAGCTTTTGACTTTAAAATGATGGATATTCACACATTTATACAATAGCCTATAGCATGTTTGCTTCTCATTAGCACGTCTTCTCTCTTTAACTTTTTTCTTCAAACGACTTCACATCGGCGCATCTTGTCTGCGCTACAAGAGCTGCTGCACGCTGCGATACAAGACTTTCACTCGCGTTTCGGGACAGTTGACAGAATAGTCACTTGCCTAATCGGGTCATTGTTGCATCGTCAGAAAATT